GCGGGGGGTTGGCCTATACATTGCAGAGTCACTTGTTTGCACAGAACTGCTAAATGCCTCAAATGATGTAGTGGAAGTTTTAGCAGTAAAGGTTGAGAACCAAAACCTAGTCATTGTGGTAAGTCTACAAGCCTCCGGATGCAACATCCCAGCAATTCCAGGAACAGCTGTTAAAAATTGACCACTTTCTGGAAAATCTTCCAGCTCCTGCACCCATCTTGCTCCTGGGGGATTTCAACTTAAGGCACCTAAAATGGAGGAATATAGCAAATAATATTGTTGCAGTAATAACACCAGGAGGCAGCTCTGATGAAAACTTACACTCACACGAGCTTTTAAATCTCTGCACAAAATTCAATTTAAACCAGCAAATAATAGAGCCTACTAGACTGGAGAATACACTAGACCTCATCTTCACTAACAATGATGATCTGATAAGAAATGTCACCATATCAAAAACAATATACTCAGATCACAACATAATTGAGGTTCAGACATGTATGCGTGGAGCCCCAGACCGACATAATGAGACTACTCACAAGGGAGCATTCACCAAATTCAACTTCAATAACAAAAACATAAAGTGGGACCAAGTAAACCAAGTCCTAACCAATATAAGCTGGGAAGATATACTAAGCAACACAGACCCCAACGTATGCCTAGAACAGATTAACTTGGTGGCACTCGATGTATGCACAAGGCTTATTCCTCTAAGAAAAAGGAGGAGTAGATGTAAAATAGAAAGAGACAGGCGCTCCCTTTACAGGCAACGGAAAAGAATAACAGAGTGGCTAAAAGAGGTCAATATATCTGAAATGCGTAGGGAGACACTGGTCAGAGAAATAGCAAGCATCGAACTCAAGCTAAAGGAATCTTATATGAGTCAGGAATCGCGGGAAGAACTAAAAGCCATAAATGAAATCGAAAGAAACCCAAAGTATTTCTTCTCCTATGCCAAATCAAAGTCGAGAACAACGTCCAGTATTGGGCCCCTACTTAAACAAGATGGGTCCTACACAGATGACAGCAAGGAAATGAGTGAGCTACTCAAGTCCCAATATGACTCAGTTTTTAGCAAGCCGCTAACCAGACTGAGAGTCAAAGATCAAAATGAATTTTTTATGAGAGAGCCACAAAATTTGGTTAACACAAGCCTATCCGATGTTATCCTAACGCCAAATGACTTCGAACAGGCGATAAATGACATGCCCATGCACTCTGCCCCAGGGCCAGACTCATGGAACTCTGTGTTCATCAAGAACTGCAAGAAGCCCCTATCACGAGCCTTTTCCATCCTATGGAGAGGGAGCATGGACACGGGGGTCGTCCCACAGTTACTAAAAACAACAGACATAGCCCCACTCCACAAAGGGGCAGTAAAGCAACAGCAAAGAACTACAGACCGATAGCACTAACATCCCATATCATAAAAATCTTTGAAAGGGTCCTAAGAAGCAAGATCACCACCCATCTAGAAACCCATCAGTTACACAACCCAGGGCAACATGGGTTTAGAACAGGTCGCTCCTGTCTGTCTCAACTATTGGATCACTACGACAAGGTCCTAAATGCACTAGAAGATAAAAAGAATGCAGATGTAATATATACAGACTTTGCAAAAGCCTTCGACAAGTGTGACCATGGCGTAATAGCGCACAAAATGCGTGCTAAAGGGATAACAGGAAAAGTCGGTCGATGGATCTATAATTTCCTCACTAACAGAACACAGAGAGTAGTCGTCAACAGAGTAAAGTCCGAGGCAGCTACGGTGAAAAGCTCTGTTCCACAAGGCACAGTACTCGCTCCCATCTTGTTCCTCATCCTCATATCCGACATAGACAAGGATGTCAGCCACATCACCGTGTCTTCCTTTGCAGATGACACCCGAATCTGCATGACAGTGTCTTCCATTGCAGACACTGCAAGGCTCCAGGCGGACATCAACCGAATCTTTCAGTGGGCTGCAGAAAACAATATGAAGTTCAACGACGAGAAATTTCAATTACTCAGATATGGTAAACACGAGGAAATTAAATCTGGCCACAAAATAGAGCGAAACACCAACGTCAAAGACCTGGGAGTGATCAAGTCGGAGGATCTCACCTTCAAGGACCATAACATTGTATCAATCGCATCTGCTAGAAAAATGACAGGATGGATAATGAGAACCTTCAAAACTAGGGAGGCCAAGCCCATGATGACACTCTTCAGGTCACTTGTTCTATCTAGGCTGGAATATTGCTGCACACTAACAGCATCTTTCAAGGCAGGTGAAATTGCTGACCTAGAAAATGTACAGAGAACCTTCATGGCGTGCATAACAGAGATAAAATACCTCAATTACTGGGAGCGCTTGAGGTTCCTGAACCTGTATTCCCTGGAACACAGGCGGGAGAGATACATGATTATATACACCTGGAAAATCCTAGAGGGACTAGTACCGAACTTGCACACGAAAATCACTCACTACGAAAGCAAAAGACTTGGCAGACGATGCAACATCCCCCCAATGAAAAGCAGGGGTGTCACTAGCACGTTAAGAGACCATACAATAAGTGTCAGGGGCCCGAGACTGTTCAACTACCTCCCAGCATACATAAGGGGGATTACCAACAGACCCCTGGCAGTCTTCAAGCTGGCACTGGACAAGCACCTAAAGTCGGTTCCTGACCAGCCGGTTTGTGGCTCGTATGTTGGTTTGCGTGCAGCCAGCAGCAACAGCCTGGTTGATCAGGCTCTGATCCACCAGGAGGCCTGGTCACAGACCGGGCCGCGGGGGCGTTGACCCCCGGAACTCTCTCCAGGTAAACTCCAGGTAAACAGGAGACTATATTCATTTATAACGGCACAAAACATACTCAACCCCTGCCAATTTGGATTCAGGAAAAATAGAAGCACTAACGATGCAATCATAAAAATGCTAGATCTGCTTTACAAAGCATTGGAAAATAAGGAATATCCACTAGGAATTTTTATTGACCTAAGAAAAGCTTTTGACACAGTAGAACACGGCATCCTACTCCACAAACTTTACCATTATGGTATAAGATGCCATGCGCTTGCATATTTCAAATCTTACCTTACTAACAGGTATCAGTATGTCACCATTAAAAACACAGCATCAACAACACAGCCACTTGATACTGGAGTTCCGCAGGGAAGTTTCCTTGGTCCCCTGCTCTTCCTCATATACATCAATGATCTCCCAAACGTATCTCAACACCTGAAACCCATTCTCTTTGCTGACAACACGACTTATGTCATCTCTCACCCTAATCTTGCTACCCTCAACACCATTGTTAATGAGGAGCTGATCAAAATATCGACTTGGATGACAGCCAATAAACTTACGCTTAACACAGACAAAACCTACTACATTATGTTTGGTAGCAGAGCAGGAGATGTGCAAATTAACATTAAGATCAACAACACTCTAATTGCCAGGCATAATGAGGGCAAATTCGTAGGCCTATACCTCGACAACAACCTGAACTTCAGCACCCATATCCAACACATAACCAAAAAAGTATCCAAAATGGTTGGGATCCTCTCCAAGATACGATACTACGTGCCGCAAACTGCCCTTCTCACACTATACCATTCACTTATATATCCATACCTCACCTATGCTATCTGTGCTTGGGGTTCAACTGCAGCAACACACCTAAAGCCAATAATAACCCAACAAAAAGCCGCAGTAAGAATAATCACTAAATCCCATCCCTGGCAACACACCCCCCCACTCTTCATAGATCTAAACTTACTCCCTGTTCAGTACATCCACACTTACTACTGTGCAATCTACATCTACAGGGCCTTAAATTCCAATATTAACCTTGACCTAAAACGCTTTCTTGATAGTTGTGACAGAACCCAAAGGCACAACACCAGACACAAACATCTCTATGACATTCCCCGTGTCTGACTAAACCTTTACAAAAATTCAATGTATGTCAAAGGCCCTAAAATCTGGAACACCCTACCTGAAAATTCTAAAACTGCAGACACATTCATCACCTTCAAAACTACCATCAGAAAACATCTTATCTCCCTGATACACCCTGTCAACTAATTACACGAATACCGAATACCACCTGGTGGTCAACACTTACACTCACTCATCCATTTGACCATAAGCAGAAATATCAATCTCAATCTCAAAATAATGAATCTTAACTAGTCATAAGTTGGCCTGTGATACTCCAATACTGAAACTATGTATAGTGCCAAAACAAAAGCATTCACATTGCTAAACTCACAAACTAGTATTTAGTCACTTAGCCATAATACCAACTTACCTCATAATTTTGTAATATTTTAAACTTAAGATTTAATTTAAGTCTGCCCGAAATGCCTAGCCATGCTAGTTCTAGTGGTACACTGTAATTATTATTTTACTACATGTAAACCACACAATAACCAAATGCTGTAAACTCAGCATTGTAATCCTTATAGAGAATAAACTTTGAATTTGAATTTGAATTTGAATCTAAGATGGCAGTATTTATTATAATCTCTCCTCTGCTATGAAGATGTCACTGACCACCCATTGCTATACAAATGCTCACATGAGCAGAATTTTACTCGCCAAACAACTCTTAATGATAATATTTGTACATGGTAAATTGCAGTTATGTAATATTTAAAAATTGTCCACAGCCTTTGCACATGCAGTCCGTCCTACTTCCATTCTTATAATTTTTGGATTTTTGTCCAAAAATTTTTAGTATGTATATAATGGATGGATAAATATGCAATATGTGAGCAAAAGTTTTTGATAAGGAAGAATACTGTATATTGGATTGCTCAGGGATAGGAATGTCTAGAGGAATGTGCACTATTCTGATAGTGAAAACATTTATATTGGATATAGTTAGAGAATACAGTATAAATATTATATAATAGATTAAATTGTAGGGGTCGGTGATTATTAGCTTACCAATCTGTCCAGTATGTAGATATATGTGTTATATTGCAGCTAATTAAAATATGTTTGGCAGAGGTGGTGTATATTGGCACAATTCATCCATATCATCTACCTGTGGGTTCCCTCATGATCCAGGCTGGGAAGCATGTCCTGTGTGAGAAGCCTATGTGTATGAGTGTCAAGGAAACTAAGCAGCTTATTAAGCTTGCTAAAGAGAAGAAGGTCTTCCTGATGGAGGTTAGTTGTGTTACTGTAATTGTTCAGTAATTGTGATACATATTGCTACTTTCCATACCTTAACATTGAAGGTTTCGCAAGGTGGCAGGCTACTCTTTATTATAATAATAATAATAATTTATTTCCATGATGTACTTAGTTATTGCAAAAACTTTACGACATCTAATAGCACAACCTCTCCTCGCTTAGCAACGTACTTGTTTACCGATGACTCGGACTTACGACTGGCTCTCTGACCAGTATGCATACCTAAATAATGTATATTAGAGCTGATTTCCTCTTATTCTGTTTATTACATTATACAGTACACTACTCTATAAACATTTACAAATACATATACCAGAAATGTTATAAATGTTGCAAAATTGACATTAATACAGTATCAAAGATGATTGACACAAACCCACTACCATTATAGTATGCTCCTCGCTTAGTGATGAATTCATTTACCGACTTGGTCTGAGGAATAGAACTCTGTCGTTAAGTGAGGAGAGGCTGTATACAGGAAGGCCCCACTTATACGGCTGGTTAGGTTCCAGGCTACCGCCGTAAAGTGGAACACCCTTTTTTTTCCACTTACAAATGCATACAAACACTAGATAACAAGTTTACACTAACATATATTAAGTTAGCAATAGAACCAGGCATCAAAAAACAATAAAAAGTACAATACACACATAGTGCACTCATTACTTACCTTAAAATATTTATAGTCTTAATCTAGGGTGAGACAAGTAGTATTTATTGTAAGAAATCAAGTGTGGTATGTATGGTAGTCAGCCAGGCTACCATACCAGCCCACCCCACCCACATACAATTCTATGATATTTAAGCATCCCAGAGTGATAAAATGTATATACAGTTCACTCATTACTTACCTTAAAATATAGGGTGAGATGAGTAGTATTTATTGTAAAAAATCAAGTGTGGTATGTATGGTAGTCAGCCGGGCTACCATACCAGGCCAACCCACCCACACATATATTCCATGATATTTAAGCATCCCAGAGCGATAAAATGTATATACAGTTCACTCATTACTTACCTTAAAATATTTGTAGTCTTAATGTAGGGTCAGGAGTAAGTAAATGAGATAAAATGAATAAATGAGAGAGAGAAAGAATGAATGCATGAGAGAGGACAGGCACAGAGTTATGTAAACAAACCAGGCGAAGGTAACTTTTGTAAACGAAGTGTACACGTCTGGTTTGTGTACAAGTTACATTGTGTACAGGTTGTCTCTACATTGATACGGTAGAATAAATAAAGAAGAACACTCCCATTTTCATGTAACATCATTTTCATTTTGAGAAGAAATGATGCTCTGAGTGAAGGCAATGGAAATAAGTCACTCTGACTTTTTTGGGTTATCCTAGGTTCTCTACACATATGTTGTTATGTATGATAATCTATGTAACTGTATTTGTGTATACCTGAATGAACTTACATACATACGAAAGGAATAATTTTCTACAGTTACCCCCAGTAACACATTTTCTCTTATGTTAGATTAGAGAAAATGTTATTCTTGGCATCACTTGTACAAGTTATCTGGCTACGACATCTCATATTTATGTTTATTTATTCTATTGTAGGGTGTATTTATCATCTTTTTATGTTATGTATCGTGTTTATTATATAATTTTGAAAAAAATATCATGGATGGATTAATGAAAATGTGTATATTAACGTAATATACAACATTTAATAAGACTCGGTGATTATTATTATTATTATTAGCATTTCTAATATGGCATCACTTGTGCAAGTCGTCTGCTACCACATCTCATATTTATGTTTATTTATTCTATTGTGGGTGTATTTAACATCTTTTTATGTTATGTATCGTGTTTATTATATAATTTTGAAAAAAATATCATAGATGGATTAATGAAAATGTGTATTTAATGTAATATACGACATTTAAATGAGACGATGATTATTATCATTACTAATATGACGTCTGGAGACATAAGACACTCTTACTGATTTTAATGTGTACCTGCATGCCAGCACAGTATGTAAGTTTATTTAAGTACAGGTATACATAAGTATAATTATCAGAGTATATATAAAATATGAAATAACTTTTAAAAACATTTGAAATTTTGGAGTTTCCAGACAAAATGGAGTGACTTAGTGCTTACCGAGCTCACGAAGAATGTAAACAAACAAGGTGGGGCGCGGTGACCGTATTAGAAAGTCAAGTGGGGGGAGCCGTATAGCGAGTTTTGGTCATAATTTGAAATGACCGTATTAGCGGAACGCCGTAAAGTGAAACGCCGTAAAGCGGGGCCTTCCTGTATAGGGAAAGCCTCTAGTTATGAAGAGCATTTCAGGCAAACAACTACATTTTGCTCTGGGTAGAACTTATTTGCTGGCTTCAGTTATCCAGTGTGTTTACTGATGAACAATTTGTGAATAGTGTCAATTATCTGTGATTTTTGTGTCCCTTTAGGCAGTGTGGTCAAGATTCTTCCCTGTGTATCACGAAATGACAAAGAGGATCAAGGCTGGAGAGATTGGAGACGTTGTGCAGGTCCTGTCCTCCTTTGGTAAATCACTGGAGCATGTGGATAGGGAGACGTAAGTCTATAGTATGGTTTGTTTTTATACATTTGTATAATGTGGATAGAAAGACGTAAGTCTTTAGTATGGTTAGTCTTTACACATTTGTGTATATATTTATATATAAGCATCATTTATCCCCTTCAGATTACCATAACTTTCTTGTATTGTCTCCGTTTTAAATAATGATCCTCACAATATTAATTGATTATGTGACCATAACTCTCAGTCCCTTCATTATGAGTTTGTTAACACTATCATCCCCCTCACTAAACAAATTATGCTCAGAATTAATTAAAATATAAATAAATATCCTAGGTAGTAGGTTGGTAGGCAGCAACCACCCAGGGAGGTACTACCATCCTGCCAAGTGAATGTGAAACAGATACCTGTAATTGTTTTACATGATGGCAGGATTGCTGGTGTCTTTTTTTCTGTCTCATAAACATCCGGGATAATAGGTATATCTTGCTGCTTCTACTTACACTTAGGTCACACTACATATACATATACAGTGGTCCCTCGTTTTTCGTAATTAATCCGTTCCTGGAGCCGTTACTATAAACGAAATTTACGATTTGCGAATCAATTTTCCCCATAAGAAATAATGTAAATACGATTACATGTAATCCGTTCCTGACACCCAGAGGTATTAAAACAAAAAAATTTTTTACATGAAATATACATGTAGTACATAAACAATACAATGGGAAATGATGAATGAAACATTAATAGCTTAACACTTACCTTTATTGGAGATTCTTCTTAGTGTATGGGAGACTGGAGGAGGAGAGAGATTGGATTGTTTACAGTTTGGAAGGGGAATCCCCTTCCAGCAACACCTCAGGTACCAATTGCTTCTCTGGGGTTGCTTCTCTTTGTTTCTTAATGCCACTTGGACCACCTTGAGAGTCACTCTAGTCTTGTCTCACAAAGTAACTGTGGAGAGAGCTCTGTTTCTGACATCTCTTTAACACTTCCCTAAAATGGCCCAAGACTTTGTCACTGTACATATTTCTCACCTTCTTTACCACAGGCTTGGCATTAGGAGCTTTCTTTGGAGCCATGGTAGCTGATTTAGTACTTGCAAGCACTAAAATGAGTGGAATATTATGAAATATTTCGTAGGAGCACTTGAGGGGACCTTCACTCACTGATAAACAATACCAGACTGGCTGGGTAGGGAGGCCGCCCCGGCTCACACCATGCATACGCGTCCCGGACGAACTACTATTCGCGAGTCAACCTATGAAAAGCGAGTCCATGTTTGTACGAAAATACCCCTATGATTGGCGAAATTTACGATTGCCGAGAACTACGAAAAGCGAGGGACCACTGTATATACATGCATCCATCTGGGTTTTCTTCTATTTTCTTAATAGTTCTTGTTCTTCTTTATTTCCTCTTATCTCCATGGGAAGTGGAAAAGAATTCTTCCTCCGTAGGTCGTGTGTGTAATAAGAGGTGACTAAAATGCCGGGAGCAAAGGGCTAGTAATCCCTTCTCCTGTACAAATTACTAAATTTAAAAAGAAAGACTTGTTTTTCTTTTAAGGTCACCCTGCCTTGGTGGGATATGGCCGGTTTGTTGAAAAAAAAAATGTGTCTGTGTGTGTGTATGACCACAAATTATATATTTTTCTTACAGAAAAAGGGAATTAGGTGCAGGTACCACCTTGGATTTAGGAATTTATACAGTGCAGTTTGCTACATTGGTAATGGGAGGCGAAAAGCCTGAGAAAGTGCTTGCTGGTGGACACCTGAGTGCTCATGTGAGTGTTTCATAATAATTTGGCTTATTCACAGTTTATAGTATATATTTGTATATTTGCAGAGCCATTAAAGCTGATTTGAATTATAATTGAGTGAACATGCATAGCAGTAATACAGTATTCACATTATTTTTTTTATATTATTTTTTTGGTTAATTTTATCTTCAGTAAAAGTGTTTGATAAACTACTGTATTTGCATATTGCACTGTTTTGGCTATACCAATTATTACATACTAGTATTTGAAATTTTACTGCAAGACTCATAAATTCAAATTTTGTCTTGCCTACTATTAGCAATGTGATCACATAATATGTACTAGACTGTCATTACATAATAATTGACTTACAAATATCCAGAGAATATAGGGCGGTACATGTTCAACTCATGGGTTAGTCAAGACATATGGGCAATCCTCCTTACCTCCTGGTCAAAAAGGGTGGATGACTCTTGAGGGACAGTTGTTGATCCTCAAGAGTGATTCAACTAGCAGGAATAAGTGCCTGCCTGATGAGTCCTGGGATGACCATTTGGTATCATTAACTGGAATTTAACAACTTAACTCGACTCATGAAATCGTAATGACAGGATTGCAAACAAACCATACCATGGGTGGGGTTTGAACCTGCGGTCAGAGTCTCAAAACTCCAGACTGTCGCGTTAGCCACTGGGCCAGCGAGCTTCAATAAAATTCGTCCAACTAGGTACGTATATTTCTACACCATAGGAAGATTAGCATAGGCACCGCTGTGTCCACAAATGCAAGTTTTTACAGACGAATCTCCCGCTAGCATGGCTGTGATGAACTCTAGCTCAAGTCCCCTCAAAGCCGTCAACATGACTCACGAAATCGTAATGACACGATTGCAAACAAACCATACCTCGGGTGGGGTATGAATCCACTGGGGCAGTTAGCTGGCCTTGTGGCTAACATGATGGTCTGGAGTTTTGCAACTCTCTGACCGCGGGTTTAAACCCCACCCGTGGTATGGTTTGTTTGCAATCGTGTCATTAGGATTTCGTGAGTCATGTTGACAGCTTTGAGGGGACTTGAGCTAGAGTTCGTCGCAGCCATACTAGTGGGAGATTCGTCTGTGAAAACTTGCATTTGTGGACACAGTGGTGCCTATGCTAACCTTCCTATGGTGTAGAAATATACCTAGTTGGACAAATCTTATTGAAGCTAGCTGGCCCAGTGACTAACCTGACGGTCTGGAGTTTTGAGACTCTCTGACCCGGGTTCAAACCCCACCCGTGGTATGGTTTATTTAACAACTTATTTCTCACCTATTCCCCAACCATCTGATCCCAGCAAGTGAATGTGCTAAAGCACAATATACTCAGTGATAATGGAAAGGCATGCATGCAGTCAATCACCAGAAGGCTGAAAGTAGCCCAGGAGTGAAGGGTACATACCCTCTGGTGCATGTTTAACCCGCAATCTGCAAAAGGACTGCAAGTTTAGACAGAAAATACACTAGTAGATTAGCATTTAACCTACCAGCAGACTGCAATGGAGTGATCCATGACAAAGTCAGATTAGTTGGGTGAGGCCAACACCAGCCTCCCCTCGCCCCACCATTTTATCTCTATCCACCTACCAAAGAAGTGTGTTTATCACTAAACGTCTGCAACACTAGGGGCAGGCTCAACTTACAGGCAGATAGAGACAAGGAGTATACAGATTTCCCTGGTGAGGAAAGCCTCAACCAGTGTTCCCAACACAGAAGAGAATTTGCCCTTGGACAAAAGTTCAGTCAAGATGTTGTGGCTGTTTGTCATCATTGGATCATGATGTCTGTGCCCATCTCGAAATAAGAGCCCTCTAATTCTCATACTTTTTCTGTTTTCCTGCAAGGCTTCCATGCATTCTTCCTGGGTTTCACTTTTGTCCTCAACTGGGCTTGCCAGCACTTGCTGCTTGTTGATCACCACTTGTTCTCTTCTTTGTGGTGCAAATGTATGCTGTACATACATACTGCACTTTCAAGCTGTGGCTATTTCAGAATCTTTAAGAAGACATTTCAGATTTATTTGCTAGAGATTTTTGGGAAGATTGTTCTGAATATTTGCTGAAGAATTAAATTTATTATTTCTAATTACCGTATGTTAACCCTTAAATTGTCCAAATGTAGATCTACGTTCGCTCTCGTAGGGCTCTGAACATAGATCTATGTTTTTTTACGTGCTTTCTTATGGAGAAAATCAAGGTCGGAACGCTACGATTGAAAACGTAAATCTACGTTTGGACAGTTGAAGGATTAAAGAAGCAGTTACCTATAATATTATATTATTGAAGAGATAGAAAACATGAGAATAATTCAGTATGCACGTTGAAATGGGAATGCAGAAGGAAAGAACCTAGAAAAAGACAGAGCCTAGTAGAGAACGGAGCAAGATGTCTCATCTCTTGCCAGGACCCATCTTGGATAGATCTGTTATTTCAGCAGAGCCTTCAACACAGGAAGGATGTGGGTGGCCTTACTGTTATGTACAAGGCCAATATTGTCAAAGTACTACACTTGGATCCACTTCGAGGACAGCATGAAGCAAGCTTCTATACCACAAGACAGGTAGAAAGTAGCAACTTCACTCTGGCTGTGCCCTTCTTCAGAACATCACTTCATCTGAGATCATTTATCCCCAGGATGACTCAAGTATGGAACACATTCGTACAGCATTATGATGTCAACGAGATAAAGTCAGTTGATCAAATGAAAATGCTGGCCCACAGATGGCTCCAACTTTATCCTGTTCCATACTTGTATGTCTCATAACAATAAAAATGCTTTCAAATGAGCTGATGTAGGTAACAGCTCTTAGCTTGTCAATAAAGTTAGGAATCCTTAACCTGTAAATAGCTTGTCAATAAACCTAGGGATCCTTAACCTTGTCAAACCCTGTGTAAAAAAAAAAAAATAATAAAAAATAAAAAGGTATAGATACAAGTAAATTGAATAAAAAAATGGCAAGGCATTTGACAAGCACCTGGTTGCCCAAATGTTAATAAATATTGACTCACATTGCCAGACATGTCACATTCATTTATTGTCTTTTTTTTTTTTTCATTAAATTATACATTTTTGGGGTTTATGTAATCTAACCTAACATATACACTAGCTGCTACCCAACTACTTTTTTTTTTCAAATATGCTGGCTGTCTCCCACTGAGGCAGGGGGACCCAAAAAAGAAACATTTTCACCATCATTCACACTACCACTGTCTTGCTGGAGGTGTGCAGAGACAACAGTAAGATGCCCTTTCAAACAGTAGGTATCCCAAACCCCTCCTTTAGAGTGCAGGCATTGTACTTCCCGCCTCCAGGGCTCCAGTCTCACTAACTGGTTTCCCTGAATTCCTTCACAAAATATTACCCTGCTCACACTCCAACATCTCATCAGGGCCAAAACCATTTGTTTCCACTCCACTATTTATTAACCTTTAATAAATTGTTAACCCTTTCTTATGGCAGGGTATAGATGAGTCAACAAGCACCACTCTCGTATATTCAGGAAGACGCTTGGCCTCACTGGCTAGCACCATCAGGGCAGACCTGCCTTCAGAAGCTTTTGTCATTGGCACCAAGGGCACCATCAAGGTTAGTGCTATCAGTTTGATTGTCACTAATAAAGGTGTCGAAGGAGACCAAAAAACTAGTTGATGAAACAGATATAGTATTGGATGTGTCCATGAGGCAACTGGCAGTGGGTGGTTGTTTACACTAACACTAGGCCTTTCCATAAAAACTGATTTTACAATAGGATAAGACTTGATATATCTGCCAGGAGTGCAGAGGTAAGTGCATCATAATCATGAGTTGGCAGAGAGGCATCACAGTGAATCTTCGATACTATATGTTTTTAACTACCTTAACTGGATATTATTAACCCTTTCAGGGTTTCGGCCATACTAATACGGCTTACTCCCCAGGGTTTTTGACGTACTAGTACGCCTAAATTCTAGTGCCCTCAAATCTAGTGAAAGAAAGCTGGTAGGCCTACATATGAAATAATGGGTCTGTGTGATCAGTGTGCGCAGTATAAAAAAAAATTCTGCAGCACACAGTGCGTAATGAGAAAAAAAAACTGACCATGTTTTTGGATTAAAACAGCGACTTTGCACTGTATTTTCGTATGGTATTTATTGTTGCATTCTAGTTTTCCTGGTCTCATTTTATAGATGGAAGACATATTACAGAAATTGAGATGATTTTGACTGGTTTTACAATGAAAAGTACCTTGAAATTGAGCTCAAAGTAGCAGAAATGATCAATTTTTACCGAAGTTCAAGAGTAAACAAATCATGCCAAGCGTCCAATACACGTCAACTGGTGAGTCTAATATTCTTTCACAAGTGTGCTGATATTATTTATACCATTTCTACACTAATGCAGTAGTCTGCATAACAGTAAATCTTCTATTTTTTGTAAGAATAAAAATTCAAAGTGGAAAGCCAAAGAAATATAAGAGGGGCCTGGGGATGTGACTAACGAACAGAGAACTTGTTATTTTAGTACCAGGAATGTCTTTGTTTATTCTGGACCCTATTCGGAAATTGGCATCTCTAGAAATTTGTGTGAAATTGGCAAAATTGCTAAATTCTGACCACTGTATTGGATAGTTGAAATTGGCAAAGAAGTGGTTTCTTGTACTCATTCAATAGAAAAAATGGAGTTCTAGCAAAATAGTTATGATTTTTGTAGACTAGTACACTGGAATTGGCCAAAAATAGGGTTCAGTGTGGGCAAAATCACCGATGCATAAACATCTCGCTAACTTCGCGAGGGCATAATTCCGTAAGTTTTCCATCAAATTTCATACTTTTGGTATCATTATGATCAGGAAAAGATTCTCTATCTTTTCATAAGAAAAAAAACAATTTTTTTTTTAAATTTGGGGACCCTGAGAACAAGTCTCGGAGAGGGCCTGGGGACCCTGAAAGGGTTAACTATCTTAACTGTATGTTATTAACAACCTTAAATGTATATTATTAATTACCTTAACTGTATATTATTAACTATTTTGAATGTATGTTATTAACTACCTTAACTGTATGTTATTAACTACCTTAACTGTGTTATTAACTATCTTAACTGTATGTTATTAACTCCCTTAACAGTGTTATGAACTACCTTAACTATGTTATGAACTAACTGAACTATGTTATGAACTGCCTTAACTATGTTATTAACTACCTTTGTCAGTAATACTGTATACATACTTGCTTCGGCAGTACATATACAACACAAGTATATACTGTTTTCTTGGATTTTTCTAAAAACACCTTGAACTAAGCTGGTACGAGTTGTTATGAAATCATCAGGATTATTATTTAGTTTTGGAACAGAATATAACAACTCATAAATCAACAGCAGAATTTGCAAGAGTCACTAATACTCGAGCAAAGCCAACTCAAATTAAAGTAGGTTTGAGAGTTATGCTGACTAACTTTAATAAAACATCTGCAATGCCTAAGCGCGATCAAAAGTTTGTTGGTCCAAGTCAAGTAGTCGAACATGCCAGTACTGGTCAGTATAAAGAATCGCATTTAGATGATATGAAGTTAGTATGCAATAAGGATGATGTTTCTAATATCCAGACAAATGGGACAGACTCTGACAATCCTCCTGACTCTGTACCCTCTACCTCTTACAACCAGCCAGACGAACAGCCTGATTGTTGTTATTCTCTATGTACACAACAAGTAATGAGAAATCCCCAAGTTTTTTTGTTTTATTTTTTCAACAAGTCGGCCGTCTCCCACCGAGGCAGGGTGACCCAAAAAGAAAGAAAATCCCCAAAAAGAAAATACTTTCATCATCATTCAACATTTTCACCTCACTTATGCATAATCACTGTTTTTGCAGATGCACCCAGATACAACAATTTAGAAGCATGTATAAAGATATATAACATATCCCTCCAAACTGCCAATATCCCAAACCCCTCCTTTAAAGTGCAGGCATTGCATTTCCCATTTCTGGTACTCAAGTTTGGCTATATAAAAATAACTGGTTTCCCAGAATCCCTTCACAAAATATTACCCTGCTCACACTCCAACAGCTCATCAGGTCCCAAAAACCACTCGTCTCCATTCACTCCTATCTAACACGCTCACCCACGCTTGCTGGAAGTCCAAGCCCCTCGCCCACAAAACCTCCTTTACCCCCTCCCTCCAACCTTTTCAAGGACGACCCCCTACCCTGCCTTCCTTTCCCTACAGATTTATACGCTCTCCATGTCATTCTACTTTGATCCATTCTCTAAATGACCAAACCACCTCAACAACCCCTCTTCAGCCCTCTGACTAATACTTTTATTAACTCTACACCTCCTAATTTCCACACTCTGAATTTTCTGCAAAATATTTACACCACACATTGCCATTAGACAGGACATCTCCACTGCCTCCAACCACCTCCTCACTGCAGCATTTGCAACCCAAGCTTCACACCCATATAAGAGAGTTGGTACCACTATACTCTCGTGCAATCCCTTCTTTGCCTCCATAGATAACGTTTTTTGTCTCCACATATACCTCAACGCACCACTCATCTTTTTTCCTTCATCAATTCTATGGTTAACCTCATCCTTCATAAACCCATCCGCTGACATCTCCCAAATATCTGAAAACATTCACTTCTTCCATACTCTCTCCAATGTGATATCCAATTTTTCTTTATCTAAATCATTTGATACCCTCATCACCTTACTCTTATCTATGTTCACTTTCAACTTTCCATCTTTACACACCCTCTCAAACTTGTCCACTAACCTTTGCAACTTTTCTTTAGACTCTCCCATAAGCACAGTATCATTAGCAAAAAGTAACTGTGTCAACTCCCTTTTGTATTTGATTCCCCATAATTTAATCCCACCCCTCTCCCCAACACCCTAGCATTTACTTCTTTTTCAGCCCCATCTATAAATATATTAAATAACAATGGTGACATTACACATCCCTGTCTAAGATCTACTTTTACTGGGAAGTAATCTCCCTCTCTTCTACACACCTTAACCTGAGCCTCACTATCCTCATAAAAACTCTTTACAGCATCTAGTAACTTCCTATTCCATATACTTACAATATCTGCTACATTGCTCCCCTATCCACTCTATCATATGGATTTTCTAAATCCATAAATGCAATGAAAACTTCTTTACCTTTATCTAAATACTGTTCACATATATGTTTCAATATAAATACTTGATCTACTCATCCCCTACCCACTCTAAAGCCTCCTTGCTCATCCGAAATCTTACCCTCTCTCTTACCTCTTAATTCTTTCAATAATAACCGTACTGTACACTTTACCTGGTATAATCAGTAAACTCAGTATCATTTGTAAATGCCAATTCAGATCCTCCTCAACCACGGCATGTGTTAACCATTGCAATAGAATTTGATCCCCCCAGAGATGATAACCATTCTACATATGTAAATCTCACCCTAGCAGAGTTGGGGTTAAATGTAAATAATCTCTGTAGATGAGACAACCCAGGCTGGAGAGTATTGTGATTGTGTGTTTACTTTATCAGCTTATTGATGTTCAAAATTTTTTTTGTGTTCACGTTCCCTCTGAATTCTGAGATTTAACGGTAAAAAACTTGAGTGCACCAAGTCTGCTTTCTCAGTTAAACACTTCTTTGTACATATCCTTCCTCAGAATCCGTAGATCACATGACTACAAATCAATCGATCGATCTTCTCTTTTCTTTTTTTCTTTGTTAATCTCTTTTGTTGTACTATGCAATCATTGATTCTGTCAAATAATATAATATGTGATATATCTTAATTTGTAATGCATTGTAATCATTTATCATCCTTAAGTATAGTTCTTATGTTCAACTGTTGTGTACATTGATATTGTATAGAATAAGCCCAGAGCCGTATGCCTTAAGTTTATAATTTGTATGAGTTAGCTGTTTGTCGGGACACCATATGTTAGTGTCACTGAGCTGTCAGTAATACTGTGTATGTACTTGTGTAGTATACTTAATTAAAACTGTTACTTTATAGACGCTCCCTAGACAGCATGGAACTTCGTTCCATGATGCCCAGGTTCCCTTCTTTACCCGAGGACTCACAACAGGAGGACTACTACAATTCCTCTTTTCCTCCATCAAGTGCTGTATCTCCATCGTCACTACTCTTAATTCCTCCTTAAGCTGCTGGTAAAGTTGCTTAATGGAGGGCATCTTGGTTTAGTCCACGGAGAGTACACTAGACACGTCCTCACTGAGCTAAGTACAGGTCACTACTGAGCTAAGCAGGTCCTTTACAAATCCAACCTACTAACAGAGTAAATGCTACCCAAACAATAAGCGTTGATAATTCTATTTACTCATCTGCAAGTCCCACTCAAATCCAACCCCTCTCACTCATGTATTTATCCAATCTAAATTTGAAACTATCCAAGGTTTTAGCTTCAATAGGACCTTGGGTAGCTTTAAAAAAAGGTTGGACAAATATATGAGTGGGAGGAGTATGTATGTATGTACAATACATGTATGTATTTTACAATGTTTTCATGTGTTTTATGACAGTTCATGATTCAATAGGTTATGGAAGCAGAATGATATTATATTTCGCTACAATATATTGGGGCAACTAACATTAGCGATTTTTCAACATTCGCGAGGCTTTTGATCCCCTAACCCTCGCGAATGTTGAGGGAGACCTGTAATACATTTCCTGTGTTTCAGGTTAACTATCCCATGTGGTGTCCTGAGAGCTTCGAGTCACCTTCAGGAAAATACGAGTCACTACTTCCCAAATCAAATCATAGTTTCAACTTTGGCAATAGTCAGGGTTTAATGTATGAAGCAGTTGAAGTCAGGCGCTGCATTAAGGAAGGTTAGTTATGGATACTTGTTGACAATTTTAACACATCTTTTTACTTTTAAGACTTGATAATTCTCTTCTGATATATTTTAAGAGATAAACATGAGTATTCAGTTAGATAATTTTACATGAAAACATATGAAAGAAAAACTTCTATTGATGAAAAGCCAGTGTAATGACTAGCTGAAAAGGCTACTTGATATGTGGTAATGATAATGTTTCTTTGTTAATAGTGGTTTTTCTTTTTAAAAAGACAGACAGATCCAGTGACCAGGTAATAAGCCATTTCTTATATTTGTAAAATATATGTGTGGGTGTGTAAAATAATTACCTACTTGGTAGTTTTAGCATCAGGAGCAGAGCTATGCTCATGGTAGCTTGTTATCAATATTGTATTTAATCTATCATAATATCATTGGTTGTAACACTTTCTACCTATTACAACCCACTACATTATTTTACCATTCTGTATGTGGAAGAACTTCCTTCTATCCTTTTGGCACCTCTTCCTCACTTTGCCACTATGGCCTCATGTTCTCCCTCTTGATGGTGTTAAAAAATCTTCTTCATCTTTTCTTTAGCATTTTATGTGCTTACAAGTGGGGTGACAAAAAGTCTAGGCAATGATAGAGTGTCAAATTGGAGTGAGGGAGTATGGAGGATTGTGGCTGTATTTGATACTTGGGAGTGGACATGTCAGGAGATAGGTCTGTAAAAGACGAGGTGAACCATAGAATAAGTGGAGATAGGTCTGTAAAAGACGAGGTGAACCATAGAATAAGTGGAGATAGGTCTGTAAAAGACGAGGTGAACCATAGAATAAGTGAGGAGGTAAAAAAAGTGAGTGGTGTGTTGAGGTATCTGTGGAAAGACAGAAAGGAACATATCAGAGTATAGGGGTACCAACACTTTTATATCGATTTGTGAGACATGGATTTTGAAGAGTGCAGCAAGGAGGCGGCTAGAGGCAGTAGAAATGTCATCTTTGAGAGCAATATTTGTTGTGAATAACATACAGAGAATTCAAAGCATAGAAATTAATAAGTGATCTGGGGTGACCAAGGGTATAATTTAAAGAGCTCAGAAGGGGTTGAAGTAGTTTGGACATACGGAGAGGGATAGGAAGGAAGTGTAAGGAAGAAGAGTTGGGTTGTCCCAGGAGCAGTTGGAGGAAGTGGATAAGGAAGTTTTGCATGTCAGGAGCATGTGGACTTTTGTGAGCATGTTAGATAGGAGTGGGTGGAGACAAATAGATGCTTGACATCTTGTTGGAATGTGAAAAAGGTAATATTTAGTTAGCCAGACTTGAGTCATGTAAATGGAAAGGATAGTGCCTGCACTCAGGAGGATGGGTGGGGATGTTGCAGTTGCTATGTCAGTGCACTTGTGGCAAGACAGCAATTGGATGAATGATGGTGAATTTTTTTTTTTTTTTTTTTTTTTCAACAAGTCGGCCGTCTCCCACCGAGGCAGGGTGACCCAAAAAAGAAAGAAAATCCCCAAAAAGAAAATACTTTCATCATCATTCAACACTTTCACCACACTCGCACATTATCACTGTTTTTGCAGAGGTGCTCAGAATACAACAGTCTAGAAGCATAAACATATAAAGATACACAACATATCCCTCCAAACTGCCAATATCCCAAACCCCTCCTTTAAAGTGCAGGCATTGTACTTCCCATTTCCAGGACTCAAGTCCGACTATATGAAAATAACCGGTTTCCCTGAATCCCTTCACTAAATATTACCCTGCTCACACTCCAACAGATCGTCAGGTCCCAAGTACCATTCGTCTCCATTCACTCCTATCTAACACGCTCACGCACGCTTGCTGGAAGTCCAAGCCCCTTACCCACAAAACCTCCTTTACCCCCTCTCTCCAACCCTTTCGAGGACGACCCCTACCCCGCCTTCCTTCCCCTATAGATTTATATGCTTTCCATGTCATTCTACTGTGATCCATTCTCTCTAAATGACCAAACCACCTCAACAACCCCTCTTCTGCCCTCTGACTAATACTTTTATTAACTCCACACCTTCTCCTAATTTCCACACTCTGAATTTTCTGCATAATATTTACACCACACATTGCCCTTAAACAGGACATCTCCGCTGCCTCCAACCGTCTCCTCGCTGCTGCATTTACCACCCAAGCTTCACACCCATATAAGAGTGTTGGTACTACTATACTTTCATACATTCCCTTCTTTGCCTCCATAGATAACGTTTTTTGACTCCACATATACCTCAACGCACCACTCACCTTTTTTCCCTCATCAATTCTATGATTAACCTCATCCTTCATAAATCCATCCGCCGACACGTCAACTCCCAAGTATCTGAAAACATTCACTTCTTCCATACTCCTCCTCCCCAATTTGATATCCAATTTTTCTTTATCTAAATCATTTGACACCCTCATCACCTTACTCTTTTCTATGTTCACTTTCAACTTTCTACCTTTACACACATTCCCAAACTCATCCACTAACCTTTGCAATTTTTCTTTAGAATCTCCCATAAGCACAGTATCATCAGCAAAAAGTAACTGTGTCAATTCCCATTTTGAATTTGATTCCCCATAATTTAATCCACCCCTCTCCCAAACACCCTAGCATTTACTTCCTTTACAACCCCATCTATAAATATATTAAACAACCATGGTGACATTACACATCCCTGTCTAAGACCTACTTTTACCGGGAAGTAGTCTCCCTCTCTTCTACACACCCTAACCTGAGCCTCACTATCCTCATAAAAACTCTTTACAGCATTTAATAACTTACCACCTATTCCATATACTTGCAACATCTGCCACATTGCTCCTCTATCCACTCTATCATATGCCTTTTCTAAATCCATAAATGCAATAAAAACTTCCCTATCTTTATCTAAATACTGTTCACATATATGCTTCAATGTAAACACCTGATCTACACATCCCCTACCCACTCTAAAACCTCCTTGCTCATCCGCAATCCTACATTCTGTCTTACCTCTAATTCTTTCAATTATAACCCTACCGTACACTTTTCCTGGTATACTCAGTAAGCTTATTCCTCTATAATTTTTACAGTCTCTTTTGTCCCCTTTCCCTTTATATAAAGGGACTATACATGCTCTCTGCCAATCCCTAGGTACCTTCCCCTCTTTCATACATTTATTAAACAAAAGTACCAACCACTCCAACACTATATCCCCCCCTGCTTTTAACATTTCTGTCATGATCCCATCAGTTCCAGCTGCTTTAACCCCCTTTCATTTTACGTAATGCCTCACGTACCTCCCCCACACTTACATTCTGCTCTTCTTCACTCCTAAAAGATGGTATACCTCCCTGACCAGTGCATGAAATTACTGCCTCTGTTTCTTCCTTAACATTTAAAAGTTCCTCAAAATATCTCGCCATCTACCCAATACCTCCATCTCCCCATCTACTAACTCCCCTACTCTGTTTTTAACTGACAAATCCATATTTTCCCTAGCTTTCTTAACTTGTTTAACTCACTCCAAAATTTTTTCTTATTTTCATTAAAATTTCTTGACAGTGCCTCTCCCACTCTATCATCTGCTCTCCTTTTGCACTCTCTCACCACTCTCTTTACCTTTCTTTTACTCTCCATATACTCTGCTCTTCTTATAACACTTCTGCTTTGTAAAAACCTCTCATAAGCTACCTTTTTCTCTTTTATCACACCCTTTACTTCATCATTCCACCAATATGTTTTCATATTTTAGACCACCCTACCTTGGTGGGAGATGACCGATGATGTAAAAAAAAGTAAAATGAGAAAGTACTGAACCCATAGTCATCATACAACACCTGGGGGAATGGGAGGTAATTAGTTTTGATCCAAGGACTGGGAGGATATCCAGGTTAAGAAATGCAGGAAAATAGAGATAATTATATGAATATTAATGAAAGTTTGGAAGATTTATCTGCCATCTTGCATGTTTATGAAACTAAAAGAAAGTGCCCAGTAATCCTGCCAGGGTGCAAGACACTTAACAGGCTTCTATTTCAGACTTGTATGGCAAGATGGCGTGTGTTTGTCAAAACAATTAATGCTTATTAAGGGCAGGCTAGTAACATAGCCAGGTAAATGAACTCATGTCTCACTGTTCAGAGGTCATTGGTTTGAGCCTCTAGAGGCTGTATGAAAAAACTTGGAGATAACTCTGAGGCTGACAGTGGTCACAAATAATAGCTGTTTACCAGTTTGCCAGACTTAGAGTCCTGGACCTGGGAAGTGCAGTGCCTACACTGTAAAGGGGTAGGTTTTGGATATTTGCTATTTGTATGAACATCTGTACTGTCATATCTGCACACTTCTGGTAAGACAGTGATGGTGTGAACGATAGTGAGTGATTCTTTTTCGGGTCACCCTGCCTTGGTGGGAGACAGCCAGCATGTTAAAATAAAAGGGTAGGTGGCAGGCATTTGCTGTGGTAAGTTTTAGGTCATTGGTCCTATGTAGGTCATTTAGGTCCCACATATAACTACTGTATATGAGAGAGACAGATAATTAATGTACAGTATAATATAGGGTAGGGAGTGTAAATTAATGCACACAGGGAATCTTAGAATATTTATATGCTTTTTTAATACTTTGTGCATTGGATGTGTACTACTGAATTTGAATTTGTTGTTTAAATTTAGCTTGTTTTTATTTCATTTACACTGTTCACTGTATTGGGGGGTCTGTTTTGCAGTGACAGAAAGTGGTATCAGTAAAGGTTTAAGTTATTGGGCAGCTTTTTGATAAATCACTTATATAAAGTAAGAAGTAGGTAGTAGGTTGGTAGACAGCAACCATCCAGGGAGGTACTACCGTCC